TGACTTGGCTTCGTTCATTAAATCGGCTGGATATAGCGTGAGGAGGCGCTCACTGAGAACGTATGCCTGGGGAACGCTATTCTTAAAAGAGCTCACCTTAGAACATCTTTCCAGTCATAACCCTTCGTTATCATCCGGAGAGCACAGTTTCCAGGCAGAATAATAGGTTTCCTCAAACGCCTAAGTAGTGTGACTTTTTGGAGAGATGCTGAGGCGCGACGCATTCAAACACCCTCTTCGGAAGTTTTCCTGGATTACCTCATGACGCCCTGGATGACACCACCGTTCACTGTGAAGTTGAAAAATTTGGGGACAAATGCATGCTACTTGTTACACTGTTCGCGAATGCCCTTCCTGTGAGTTCAAACTGGTCATCGACAACTAAACTTGCCAAATTTCTATGTTCTATGTTTGACAAAAATTTCTGCATGTTGACAAAATTTCTCTCGTTCAGCCTTTTTACCTCTGAGCTAGCCACATAATGCCTATGGGAAAAGTATGGATGCATTGCTTGGTATATACAGCATGAGACTTCGTATTGGAAATCCAACCTCTTGGTCTTGAAAAAGAGGAAATAATTAATTCTTGTCTACAGTCATGTTATAGAAAGGTAAGGAAGTGCCGTGGATAGGCAGTAGTCAGTCATGTTTCAGTAACTCCCACCCCAGTCAACAGTACCTTCCTGAAACCAGTTTTCTGTTCAAAGATGGGAAAGGCCTGGCGTTCAGGTGATGTGTGGAAGTCTTTGTATCGAAAGAATTTGGACTTTATCGTTCCCATCTCTGCCATCGTAATAAAAGAACTTGTGGATGAAGGAAGGCTTTTAAATTTGGTGGAACGAGATCACAGTGAATGAGCACTATGGCTTATGTGAACTGAGGGTGGAATATCGATCTTTAGGGAAAAAATGTAATCATTCATGAGCCGGAATCCGCCTGAAAAGGGCAGAGTAAAGTATTGAATGAAGAATGAATTAGAATTACACCAGTGTTAAGAGTAGAATCATTCTCTTGGAAAGGAAGTCGCATCTTCGATAACACACAGTATGTCCGCTCTTCATAAACATGACGAAGTTATCATCTTCAGTGCTTGTGGGGTAATTGGTGCGGAGGCTTAGATGTCGCCCTTTATTTGTCGGCTTTCAATAAACAGTATTGGAAGTGGATAAATAATCTAGGAGAATTTGGTCACCAAAGGTACACTCTGCCTCATCTGCACATTGTATGGTTTGCTATATAGGCAAATGTAGGAGTGATGGCCTCCGGTTAGCAGCTATTCCCATTCTCTTCAGTGATATTATAACGTGGTCGGATGTTGCCTTAATTTGCTTCATATCCTTGTGGTGGATGACGGGATGGTCGTCCAGACAGTGGATTTCTTTCTTTGCGATTTTCAGTAACACCGTTAACGGCCTTGCTGGATGGACCTCACATTCTCTTATGACCTGCTAACAACATGCAATTTTGACGTGTGTGGTTTTTCTGTGAACAGTCTCAAGTAGTCAGTGATAAAACGTGTTTACTGATATGAAGGCGGAGGTATAGGTCCAGTCGTCCTACTTTGTGAGATGGACGAGCCTGACTTATTTTCGCCAGACCTTGGCCTACAATTCGTTTGGGCTAATAGTGCTTATGGAAGTGGCGGCCAGCCAGCCGCCTCTCAGGCTGCCTTCAGCGGCATACCACGTCGTCCCCATCGTCTGAATCAGGCGTCAGCCTGTGGGCATGTCTATAGAGTAGTAATAGCTGTCTGGGGTGCGTACTTGGGCCTCTTGCCCTGCTCCATTCTGTGAATTCGGAGGCGGTGGGGTTGCCCGCTAATCTGCCAGTCGTTGGGCCTTCTCTGAGGTCAGGTGATCTTTTAACGTCATCACTGGGTAGAGCATGGTGTTGTGTTCCTACATGAAATGGAAGCGCATTAGAAATGTCTCACTGTTACAATTTTTTATCCCGACCAATATATCGCTCAAGGTGTCGGCTTCTGCTACTGATGAAACCTCCATCTGTTTAATGTGACTGTCATTGTGACTTACAGGATCTGCAACAAGACTGTTTCAGGAATCCGCAATACTAAAGACCCTGCCCCACAAGTATAACTCGGTGTCATATACATTCTGAGTTGTTTGGGCGGTGGTACACACTATGCTCTTGGACGGGCTTATGCTATGAATATCTTTACTGGTCGTTGGGCTTTATCTAATGTTATATAATCTTTTAGCAACTTTACTCGGTAGACCATGGTGTCGTCTGCTGGCAGCAAGTAATTCCTCTGCACAACTGCCTGCTCTCTGTCCCTCCCCGACCTCGTTACTTAGCCTTTGCTCTGAAACCGTGCACTGGCCAGCACGGCAACACTTATGAATTCCACTCTGAGATACATATTCAGGGAGTTTTACTCTCATCCAGTCTCACATTCCATGAGGGAATGTTTTGAGGCAGTATAATTGCACAGAATCGCAGTACATGGAGTATGTGCAAAAAGAGAAGCAATAAATGGTCGCCATCTTTGCTAAGGGAAACTTATTTACAAATAGTTGTTGGTGATCCAATAATGAAAGTAGAGTTTGCTCAATCGGACTCTCTAAAATATACGATGCAGAAGAAAGGAATATTGTTAAAAAGGTCTCCGGGGTGAAGCAAAGTTCGATACTGTTTCCCGGTAGCTAGAAGTGATGTCAGTACACATGACGTATATTTGATAAGTACCGCAATATTGGGCGACTCAGTTGTGCAAAATGGCGGTGGATCGGCGGGGTAGCTTAGAAGACCGTGGAACTCCCTTATCGTCCTCCAACAGCGTTGGCCTTTTTTGCAACTCAGGTAAGTGTCTATCCGAAAAGCGTTTGTTACCTGTACAGCTATGCTAACCGGCCAGTTTATACTGCTAACAGTGTGCTGTAAGGAGGGCTCGAAAACAAAAACCGAAAAACCATCCAAAGCTCAAAAAGGAACGAGTTAATCGTCTAGGTAAACTAGAAAATGACAAGTGTAAACACTGCTAATAGAAGCGAAGAGACGAGTGCCAGGAAGCAGTCTTGAAGAAGAAGAAGAAGAAGAAGAAGAAGAAGAAGAAGAAGAAGAAGAAGAAGAAGACAAGGTCGCAGGGACAAGACTTTATTAGCCTGACGTTTCGGATTCCTGCCCGAATCCATCATCAGAAACAAAAGCAGAGGGTGGTTCATGCATATGGGGCTGCAGTATTTATAGGATGCAGTAGCCATGCTACCGCATACCTATGAATATTCACGGCTCCCCTCCCCCCCCCCGCTTCATCAGGGATCGTTGCACGTGGCGTGATGGCCGACATTCGCGTCGTTAATTGCTGCAATTTCATCACGTGCGTTGGATGTTGGTGTAATGATTGCTCGACCATCTGACGCGCTGACCCGGGTGTTGGGAAGAGTGTTCACCTGTGCTCTCCCCGCGTGGCCAATTACTCCGCCTAGGCGAAGTCTCAGCGCTGAGTATGGAAGGGGAAGATCATTGCACTTGTTAATGGGCTGGGGGCCAGTAAACCATGACTCATGCAGCTCCCGGCTCACGCGGTTGTCACCTCTTGCGAGAATTTCGGCCTCGTCAAATTTGAATGTGTGGCCGGAACCCGTCGAATGAGCCGCAACTTGAGAGCTAGCGTCATTTCTCCGCACCGCTGCAGCGTGTTCGGCCATTTGCGTTTGGAGTTGTCTTCCGGTTTCTCCGACGTAGTTGCTTTGTCCGCAACTGCACCAGATCCGATAAACGACTCCAGACGTTTCTTGCCGTGGCAGTGGGTCTTTCGGTTCCATTAACTGACGCCTCATGGTTGCCTCCGGTCTGTGTGCAACTCCAACCCCAAGTGGTGCGAGAAGGCGGCTGACAGCTTCCGAAACGTTCTTTACATATGGAAGCGCTCGCCAAAATTTGGTGTCCATGCGGTTAGGCCTTTCGTCCCTTTTGAGCATTCATCGGTTGACGAAGTTGCGTGGGTAACCATTGGCTTTGAAGACCCGTCTGAGGTATTGTAATTCGGCAATCTTGTCTTCCAGCTCACTGCAGTGCGTTTCAACACACCGGTAGAGCGTCCTTACACAACTGCGTTTGTGACTGATTGGATAGTTGCTGTTGAAGTTCAGTACTTGCATCGTATTTGTCGCTTTCCTGAACACTTTGGTCTTTAGTCCACCACAATCTTTGCGGTATAAGAAGACATCCAGGAAGGCCAGCTGGTTATTCTCTTCCTCCTCCATCGTAAATTGTATGTCGGGGAAGACCGCATTGAGACATTCTTTGAATGTCAGCAGTGGATCGCAGCCGATAATGACGACGGTGTCATCCACATACCGAGCCCAGAACTTCGGTCTGTGGTGCTGGAAGACCAGCGACTCTAACCGTTGCAGGAGCGCCTCGGCAATGAAACCCAAAATCGGCGAGCCCATTGGTGTGTCCTTCAACTGTTCGTAGATTGTCCCGTCGAAGTACGTCCTGAGACAGAACTTCAGGAGCTGAAGGACTTGGGCGCGTCTACGACGATTCTCCGTTTCATCGTATTTGCTTTGTAGAAGCAGCTCGATTGTCTCGATCGCCAGGTCTTGGGGAATAGAAGTAAAAAGGGATGTAACATCAAAAGATACCATGATCTCATTTGGATGGAGGCTTACCCCTTTGAGTTTCTGCAGGAATTGTGCTGACGAAGAGACCGTAACGAAGAGACGAACTGAGATCTTTTTTCATGTTGTCGGTTAAGGATACTGGGACAATCTTTGCCAAGGGAGATAGCCTTGAATTCATTAACGGCGTGAAAGACCTCGAACTGAACGAAATGGACATGTGTTCAACAGAAGCGAAGAGACGAGTCCCAGGAAGTAGTCTTGAAGAAGGAGACACGATCACTGGGACAAGAACTCTATTAGCTGGACGTTTCGGATTCCTGCTCGAATCCATCATCAGAGACAACAGCAGATACGGATGATTCACGCACGAGGGGCTGCAGTATCTATAGGATGCAGTTGCCATGCTACCGCATACCTACGAACATTCACGGCTCCCCCTTCATCTGGGACCGTTGCACTTGGTGTGCTACCTGTTTTATGGCCGCCATTCGCGTCGTTAATTGCTGCAATTCATTCAATACATTTAATTTACGATGGAGGAGGAAGAGAATAACCAGCTGGCCTTCCTGGATGTCTTCTTATACCGCAAAGATTGTGGTGGACTAAAGACCAAAGTGTTCAGGAAAGCGACAAATACGATGCAAGTACTGAACTTCAACAGCAACTATCCAATCAGTCACAAACGCAGTTGTGTAAGGACGCTCTACCGGTGTGTTGAAACGCACTGCAGTGAGCTGGAAGACAAGATTGCCGAATTACAATACCTCAGACGGGTCTTCAAAGCCAATGGTTACCCACGCAACTTCGTCAACCGATGAATGCTCAAAAGGGACGAAAGGCCTAACCGCATGGACACCAAATTTTGGCGAGCGCTTCCATATGTAAAGAACGTTTCGGAAGCTGTCAGCCGCCTTCTCGCACCACTTGGGGTTGGAGTTGCACACAGACCGGAGGCAACCATGAGGCGTCAGTTAATGGAACCGAAAGACCCACTGCCACGGCAAGAAACGTCTGGAGTCGTTTATCGGATCTGGTGCGGTTGCGGACAAAGCAACTACGTCGGAGAAACCGGAAGACAACTCCAAACGCAAATGGCCGAACACGCTGCAGCGGTGCGGAGAAATGACGCTAGCTCTCAAGTTGCGGCTCATTCGACGGGTTCCGGCCACACATTCAAATTTGACGAGGCCGAAATTCTCGCAAGAGGTGACAACCGCGTGAGCCGGGAGCTGCATGAGTCATGGTTTACTGGCCCCCAGCCCATTAACAAGTGCAATGATCTTCCCCTTCCATACTCAGCGCTGAGACTTCGCCTAGGCGGAGTAATTGGCCACGCGGGGAGAGCACAGGTGAACACTCTTCCCAACACCCGGGTCAGCGCGTCAGATGGTCGAGCAATCATTACACCAACATCCAACGCACGTGATGAAATTGCAGCAATTAACGACGCGAATGTCGGCCATCACGCCACGTGCAACGATCCCTGATGAAGCGGGGGGGGGGAGGGGAGCCGTGAATATTCATAGGTATGCGGTAGCATGGCTACTGCATCCTATAAATACTGCAGCCCCATATGCATGAACCACCCTCTGCTTTTGTTTCTGATGATGGATTCGGGCAGGAATCCGAAACGTCTGCACGACAAGCAGGCAGACTAGGTGCACATAGTCAATTCGGAAGTAGGTGACCGGACCAACGGATAAATCTTCAAATGACGATCTTTCAGTGTTATCTTCATTCTGAATTGTTTGGCCGGTGGTAGACACTATGCTGGTGGAAGTACTTGTGCTGTCAGTGTCAGAACTTCTAAACGAAAAATATGCTAAATAACAGACACAGTGTGGTAAATAAAGAGAAAAATTTTAATTCCGCTCAGCAATAGCCCTGCCCGTCCAACCCTCCTTACACGCGATACATCCTTCCAATCCAATAATTTCACCTGAGTGCCGACAGAAGTGTCATGAAATCATTTTCACCACTCAACTTTACACTATAAAAAACTGAAAGACAGACAAAATTTCAAGGTTCTTTGGTATGCAAGTAATGTTGCCCTCCTCTAGGCCACCACATTCTTTTTCGAATTATATTTTTCTCAACCTAATGTTCCCACTCGTGCCACTCACGTAATATAGCTTTTTTGAGACGGATTCTGGCTCGTGGACAACCTGATCTTTTTCCTGCCTATCAGTATTCTCATAATAAAGCCTAATGCCTATTAATCGTGTCCTTATTTTGTAGAATTTTAAATCTTTCCTGCATTTCAAGTCCATTCATAACAAGATATCGCAAGGCAAGAATGTGAATCCGTAATGCCATGGTCTTCCGAAAAGATGTCAAGCACAGGGACCGTCTATTCATTCTCTGAATATGAAGATAGGCTCTCTGCTTTGTCGATTCCTTTTCAAACAAGTTCGCTCCCATGTATCGATCGTTGGCGGTGTGAGTTAAATCAAATTCTATCGATTTTAATAAAGTTTAAAATCAAACAGCGGTCAGAAATCAAAGCTCGCCGGCTCCTGATTCTGGGCGGAACTCAAAAAACTGCAACTGTCAAATGGTAGGTGTCCGCCGACTTTCAACCTGATTCCCTTATTTTTGGCGGTATATCTTTCTTAGCGTCATGAGTTCGTTTCAAATAATGCAGCAGGAGGTGATAGTTGACTCAGCTCGCAGGCGAATATCGATTGGGAACAAAGTAGTTTAGATGTGATTCGATCGATTTTATGGAAGTGCTAAGTTTGCCGACGCTGTAAGATCAGTTTCTAAATCTACTTGCCACTCCACGAAACTAAAAGTCGCTAAAGTCTCCGAAGGGTAAACTTCGACAGTTTTCTTTCTTGCTTTTTGCTTCCATTTAAACTCTTAACAGACATTTTCACCTTTTTAGCGTGAAGTCATCAGTATACATGCCGGTCAGGGCGGAGTGCAGATTGGCAATGCCTGCTGGGAACTCTACTGTCTGGAGCACGGAATTCAGCCTGATGGGCAAATGCCCAGTGATAAAACCGTTGGAGGTGGAGACGACTCCTTTCAGACCTTCTTCAGTGAAACCGGTGCTGGCAAACACGTCCCCAGAGCAGTGTTGATGGATCTTGAGCCAACAGTAGTGGGTGAGTATGAAGTCCGTCCACTCTAATTGAAAGCGCTGACACGACCATTTTTCCTAACATCAGAATATGCTTTAGGGAACATATAGTGGGAAGGTCTGTTAGACTATTTCTTTGTAGTGTCTCAACTAAGTTGTTCAAAATAAATGAAGTAAACAAGGGTGGCAGGTCTGCCTACTGTGAAACACCCTTACAAATGCGCTTTCTTTGTTCACCGAGTACACCTAAGATGCATTGTTGGGAGAATGAACGAGGCCTTGATATCCTCGATTTTTGGAGCACGTTCAAAGCATCTCGAGATGTGAAACGAGAGATGTAACAACAGCAATATAAAAAAGAGTGAACTGATTTGATAAAATTGAGGAGAATGTCGAAAGCGTCGTTATTTTTACTGCTCCAATAACGGGCCGCCAAATTGTCAGTCTCACAGAGGACATAGCAAAAAGTTTTCAAGTGGCAAAACCAGCGAAAATAGACTACACGAATAACTTTGTATTTTGATCGTAGATGAAGTCAGAACTGGAACATATCGACAGCTTTTTCATCCGGAACAACTCATCAGTGGAAAAGAGGATGCCGCAAACAATTATGCTCGTGGTCACTATACGATCGGCAAAGAAATGATAGATCTTGTCTTGGACAGAATCCGAAAACTGGCTGACCAGTGCACCGGTATGCAAGGCTTCGTCATCTTTCACTCCTTTGGTGGGGGAACAGGCTCCGGTTTCACCTCACTCATGATGGAACGTCTCAGTGTGGACTACGGAAAGAAGTCTAAACTCGAGTTTGCAATCTATCCAGCACCACAGATCTCAACGGCCGTTGTCGAGCCTTACAACGCCATACTTTGCACGCACTCCACTCTGGAACATTCGGACTGTGCTTTCATGATCGACAATGAGGCCATTTACGACGTGTGCCGGTGAGAGTCTGTTCTTAGTTTTCTCTAACAGCTGCTAGTTGGATAGAAAAAATACTTATTCACCAAGTTTCTAGGTGCCACTGTCTTAGTCACCAAGGGCATTAACGCCTACATACCTTTCGATACTGTAGTGTCCGAGGTTGCTCCTAACTTAGGTGCTAATTCCTGAACTAGAACTCATTAAGGGACCGATAAAGGATTTTATTTAGTTTATTAGTCGCCTGACAACCTTTTTTCGTTTGACGCCGACTTGAAATATAAAGGTTGTGGATATTAATTAATGTCGGCAAGGTATAGAATGCTCAGCGATAAATTAATTATGTAAATTTAAAGCGATATTTCCCCGGTATGAATTTGAATAAAGCAAATACAGCGGAATTTATTGGAACCAACAGATTTCGATATAGCTTATTAACTGCAACCTGTCGACCGAGATAACAAATGATAAAGATACAGAGATTTGAACTTCCACAGAGAAAATCAGTACAAAACAGCAAGGTCATCGTTTACTACACGCAGACTAATCAATAAAAATGGTAACTTAAAAGCTCAACGTAGGAAAGGAAATGAGAAAGTTAGCACCCAGAGGTGTGCAAATCAGTGGGCAATAGTTTGCTGCACATAGATTTATTAATGAAGATGGTAACCTAAAGAAGCAATTAAGGAAAGGAAAAATGGCGAATGTAACATGCAAAAGAGGGTGGGTAGATATAGGGACTGAGGTTAACCTCAGTTGTCAATTGACTTCGTGGTCTAACTGTTTGCATAGATCGGGTTTCTCCCGCCGAATCGTCATCTACTCTAAGGTCTTAGTGGACAATCGTGCTGGTTTTGTCTACAACTGCAGTTGAGAAGCGTAGGCCTGATTTTAAAATGCCCGCCGATAAGGTGTTTCATTCACAACAAGACGACAACAGTCTAAAAAGACGACGTTTCATCAAAACATATAGTGTCTCCTGACACCCATTTTCCAGGTGTCATCGGTCAGATGGCATTGTAAGTCCCTTCTACCGTTCTGCAGTAGCACTTGATACAACACTCGCCACTTGGCACTTTAGCAGGATAGTTCATGGAGGTGGGAGCATTTATATTCGGTAGCATCAGGTCAATAAGTACAAATTCGTCCTAGTACCCGAGAGAGCGATCCGCTGTGTTCACGAAATCTCGTGTAAGCTCTGGATCTGTCCACATCCCTTTCTGGCCGCGGTATGTCGTTCCCGGGTGAGGCAAAGTCAGTCATCATCAGATTGCGCAATTTCCTGTCTCTCTTCTCGATACTTACCCTTTAGTAGTCTTGCGATCTTGATGGTTCGCGCAGGTGGTGCTTTAAAGAATGACTGGTTATTATTCAGGCAACGAATGAAATTTTTGGAGTGCCGACTAACTAGTCGGGATCCATAAAGATCCTCCACTTAAATGCGAATAGTAATCTGCATAGAAATGTACGCCTTAACCTGATGACAACGGCTTTGAAGTGAACATAAAATAACTGGCCGAATTTTGGTAAACAGAATATATTTTCTGTGTTCCTTGCAAAATTCATTTTTATCCCATTTGTCCATAAACATACTTGACACCTGGGCAATTACATTTCTGAGTTATATTTGATTTTCGTGTTCAAACTCAGTCCATTTTAACTTTAGACGCAATTTAGACATCGAGAGGCCAACATACACAAATCTCAATCGACTCGTCGCCCAGATCATTAGTTCAATCACTGCCTCTCTACGCTTCGATGGCGCTCTCAACGTCGATCTCACGGAATTTCAAACAAATCTTGTGCCCTACCCTCGTATCCACTTCCCTCTCTCCACGTATGCACCCACAGTGTCAGCAGAGAAGGCCTATCATGAACTACTGAGTGTCGCTGAACTCACCAATGCCTGTTTCGAACCAGCCAATCAGATGGTCAAGTGTGATCCGCGACACGGAAAATATATGGCCTGTTGCATGCTATATAGAGGCGATATAACGCCCAAGGACGTCAATGCATCCATCGCCACAATCAAATCTAAGAGGACTATCCAGTTCGTCGACTGGTGTCCAACCGGCTTCAAGGTCGGTATCAACTATCAACCGCCCACCGTAGTACCCGGTGGCGACTTGGCGAAGGTGCAGCGAGCACTGTGCATGATTAGTAATACGACAGCCATTGCAGAGGCCTGGGCTCGACTAGACCATAAGTTTGACCTGATGTATGCTAAGCGCTGTTTCGTCCACTGGTATGTCGGCGAGGGAATGGAGGAGGGCGAATTCTCTGAGGCACGAGAGGATATTGCCGCCCTGGAGAAGGATTATGAGGAAGTTGGTGCAGACACCGTGGAAGCCGAGGGCGAAGAGGAGGGTGAAGAGTACTAAATGACAGCTGAAGAACGGAACAGTCGAGTGCTCTTTCTTTGAACACGATGCTTCTTGGTATAGGATTAGGGATCTAGGTTTATCACCTTTTGTACCGCAATGACTTCTCAATTCCGAGCGGCAGACGATCTATCTGGATGCTGCCTCGACCCTCCTTGTATATCATTATGAAGGTGTCACATCAACACCCCGAAAATTCAACGCAAAGTGAGACAAGAAGTAACTGAAGGAGCCCATAGTGCAGATAGCATACATAGGGAATTTTGTAAATTTGGGATTATAGTAGTACCTCCTGTAGGGAAGTAAGGACATCCTAAGGATATTTCTAGAAGCATCGGAAGCTGGGGCAGAAGTAATTGTGTGTCCCTGCCTTGCACAACGAAAACGCCCTACTTCTTTTGTGCGTATAAATCGAATAAAAATTTCAAGCTCAAAACGCATGTCTTATCTTTGGGTGGGCGTGAAAACTGACCCATGTGTCCTTTTAAACATTCTCATAAAACTTTCGATTTTGATTTCGAGAGAGAGAGAGTGTGTGTCTTTATGCAGTCTCCTTGAAGCACTTTTCGTCTGCGGGCTAAACGGGGCTGTATAGTAACTGCAGGTGCCCATCCACGACTCAATTTAGCCATTCAGCTATTGTAGACATGCTGACTCGAGGTTTCTTCCTGTGCGTACAGCAGTATGTCGTTACCATCGTTATCAGCACGACGTAGCCAGTCATCAATCTGAATCTTTGTCAATGACCGGCCGTGATAGCAAAGTCGATCTGCAGTGTGTTTAACAGTAGTAGTAGTAGTAGTAGTAGTAGTAGTAGTAGTAGTAGTAGTAGTAGTAGTAGTAGTAGTAGTAGTAGTAGTAGTAGTAGTAGTAGTAGTAGTAGTAGTAGTAGTAGTAGTAGTAGTAGTAGTAGTAGTAGTAGTAGTAGTAGTAGTAGTAGTAGTAGGTCTTACTCCATGCCTATTTTTCTGCCTATTTCGTAAACATACCTATTCATACGCCTTCTAACTGTGTGCTTCGATACGTGCCCCAACATTTTAAACATAAGAAGAAAGAGAAAGCAGAACATAACGACTGCACAACAAAGTAGTGCACGGGAGAGCGACAATGCCCACCGCCTACTCCGCGACATGGGCGCAGGACGGCGAATTCCGCGTAAACTAGTTTACAGCGAGGCAGGCTTTCGCAGCCTCTGCCACACTCCCTTCTGGATCCACTGGTAAGACTAAGTCAGAACGACCGGAGGCGGCCTCGGGCACAGTGGCTGCCAAAGGTAAACAACCTGTTTACGCATGACCGGTCAGTCGACTGTCTTTCAAGCCACGACTTAGCGTGTCATCAAAGATTTCGCCGCGTCGGTCTTATTTTCTCTTCTCCCTACCTCGCACCAGCCGGCTGTTCGAACCTGTTCTTCTTCTGATACCTCCAAGTGGGCGTAGTGGCCGGTGCGGCCCCAAGTCTGCGCCTAGGCTTGTCCTCCATTTGCGCCAGTATTTATGGACTCTCTCCGCGGACTGCGCGGTCTGGCTAACACCTACCATTGACCCATCTGCCTCCCCCCTCCCCCCGTCCCCTGATTCCGTCCAACGCCTCTGCAGCGTGCCCTGTCACACTCACGCTAAATGGCGGCGTGGCAGCTCGCAAAGTCGGCTCGCGACTACAGGAAGTCAACCAATGATTACACGTTTGAGTGTTAGTTTCTCTGGCTCAACAGGCGACTAATTTCGGATTCAGACCTCAGGCCTTCTGATTTGAAATAGGGCATGGCTGGCTGACATTGGAAAATCAGCAAGAAATGAGCAGTTCAGTCCCGACTGACTTTGTCTGCAATGCCACCTGATTATATGCAGTCGTTAGTAAAGCCAGTATGTGCAAACCGAACATTTATGAGAGCAGCCTGTGGATAAATCGTAAGTGTTGAGTTTACAGAAAAGTCATTGGTGGCTTATCCATTTGACTACCTTATAAAGATCAATGTCTATTATCCGAACCCCTGATCAAGGGCTCCACTGCAAGGATGAGATTAGTGAAGGATGGCCTGTTTCCAATAATTACTCGTTGATGGATGTCTTCTTGCGTCAGAAATGCGCAAAGGCCTCAACTGAGATCCTTCCCATATTCAGCACAAAACCACAACCGATCCAATGAAGCAAAAGTTGGCCGTAAGTCAGTTCAGGTAACAAGTACCTGATTCTAGTCTATAAAGTAAATTTCCGCCACAACTTACTAAACAAGAGCCTACATTTTTAGACCTCTTTTGAGGAGAGCGCGCTTATTCAATTAAAGTTTTGAGTTTTGAATAACGGGCAATATAACGGATAATGTGATTTATGCTACTTATTATCGCAACAGCATGACAGTTCGACCATCGATTTCGATGACGTACACCGTGGGCCCCACAGCAGGTTGGAGCAGGGACGGTGACTTGCGCAGGGGTTTATAGTGCCAGTAGACTTCCGCTGCATCTACCTACACTCTCTCCACCTCCCTCGCTCGAGCCCGGTGTCAAGACAGAGTCAAGAAGACCGGAGAGGAGGGAGGCCGCAGGTGGATGGCTCGGACGGATCCTCACCTTGGCGTTCCACCACACCCCCTGGTCCACACAACAATAACCAGGATTTCAACCAATCACAACAGAGATTTGGAGGCTGGCACGGCCGAAGCCGCACCTAGGCGTGCCGCCAACGCCTGGCTCGGATCCCACACTGTGGTGGGAGTGCCATAAAGGCCACATTAAAAAGGAGCCATTGCAGCCTGACTCTCAGACCGCCTCCCGTTAAGGAGGAGGTCCAAGTTACCCCGTCAGTTGGCAACCTTCCAGGCCACGGCTTTTAGCGCACCGTGATAGCTTCAAGCGCGTCAGATTGATTATAGTGAGGAATAAGTGCACTGAGTCGTCGACCTCACTCTCCCTTCCCATTCCCAAACCCCAGCCGCCGTCCGAGCCGGTCGGCAAACTGGAGTGGTGGATGGGCGCGGTGGCTGCCACGGTCGACTGGCCGTGACTGCGCGCGCCACGGCACGACCTGGCCCCCCATACACACACAAACACCAGGATTTCACACAACGGGGGTTGAACGGCGTGTCTCTCACTTGCGTGAGAAGGCCGTGGAAGGCGCTGCTTCAGCCCGTTCCCAGCCCATCAGTCCGCCACTCCACACAGCACACACACACACACAGCGCGACGAACTGCGTGAACCGAGAGCGGGCATCAATCAGCAACCTTCCTATCCACGACACTTGAAGTGTCGGGATAGTCTCGGACTCAAATCACCCGTACAGCCGAAGCCGCGTGGGAACCGAGTCGAGATGCACACTTCCCACTTGTGTGGGAGGTGGCAGTTGGTGCATGCGGTGGGTAAGTGTTGATGTGTGTTGGTGATGGTGGAGGAGGGTAGGGAGTGTGTGGATGTGTGGTGTAACCGGCGGTTGTCTACCGCAGGTCGTCGTGGATGCGCATGTGGCCGAATAGGCCCATGCGATGCCTGGAAGTGCGAGGACAGTGTGGGCAGTTGAGACGAGCTTGATGGGTATAGGTTGGTGCTCCAGGCACTGGTTCTCCGGTCTCTGTGCGATGGATTCACAAGTGACCGACCAGGCCGATGCGTGAGGTGAATGTGCGTGGACAGTGTGGGCACGTGAAGTCGGCGGTGTCAGAATCAGCTACAGAGGAGGCGTTGGTGGTGGCGCAGATGGACGGTGCGAGGGTGGTGCTGTGGATAATGGGCGTGGTTGGTGTGTCGGAATTGTGGTCGATTCCGCTCTCGTGGATGCGCATGTGGCCGAATAGACCCATGCGATGCGTGAAGGTGCGAGGGCAGTGTGGGCAGTGGAGGCGAGTGCGGTGGGTGTAGGTTGGTGCTTCAGGCACTGGTTCGCCAGTCTCTGTGCGATGGATTCGCAAGTGACCGACCAGGACGATACATGAGGTGAATGTGCGATCGCAGTGAGGGCAGGTGTAGTCCTGATTCTCATTGCTGGAGTCAGGAGAGGCGGGGGTGGTGCCGGTTGTTGTGTCGCGGTCGGAGATGTGCGAGACGGCTGCCTGAGCGGCCGCCGTTGGGGCAGTGGTGGTGGTGGTGGTGGGGGTGGTGGTGGAGGAGGAGGAGGAGGAGGAGGAGGAGGAGGAGAAGGAGAAGGAGGAGGAGGAGGAAGAGGAGGCAGAGGAGGAGGATGGAAGTGGTGGTGCAGAAGAATTCACAGAGTTATTCGGCAGCAGAGAGGACGAGGATGACGTGGGCGGGGGGATGAAGTTTGGTGCAGTTCGAGAGATACAGTTGATCCGAAGATGTCCAACAAGGCCGATTTGAGCCCGGAATGTCCGCTTACATCGAGGACACGTTAGAAGCAGTTGTGCGGCAGCGTTGCTGACTGGGCGCAGTTGGGATTTGCGGGCTTCGCGTTTCGCTTTGGCGGCGGCGATGCGGTTGACTTCGTGGATAGCAGCGCCCGTCTTCCCTATTCTCCTCCATGCCGGACGATCGCAGGCGAGCTCTTCCCAGTTGGTCGGATTGATTTGCAGTAGCTTCAGGGAGGACTTCAGGGTATCCTTGTATCGACGAATTGGGCCTCCTTGACGGCGAGAACCCGTCGCGACGTCTCCGTAGGAGAGTCGTTTGGGTAGCCGTTCGTCGTCCATGCGCACCAGGTGGCCGCTCCAGCGCAGCTGCATTTGTCTCAACATGGAGTAGATGCTGAGCATTCGCGTTCGTTCCAGCACATCAGTGTCGGGGATGCGATCCTGCAAGTTCAGCCGCAGGATGCGACGAAGACAACTGGGGTGGAAGTGGTTCAGACGGCGTGCCTGCCTCGTGTACACCGTCCAGGTCTCTGCTTCGTACAGTAGCGTCGGCAGGATAACGGCCTTGTACATCTTCAGCCTCGTGTTCAGTTGAAGACCGTGACGATTCCAAACTGTGCTTTGGAGACGACCGAAGGCTTGACTGGCTTTCGAGATCCTGTTGGCGACTTCGTCATCAATTCTTGGTGGTGCGGGAGAGGGTACTACCCAGGTACGGGAAGTTCTCCACCACTTGAAGTTGGGTCCCATTCACGCTGATTTGCGGCGACGCGTTGGGGCTGTGGCTGAGTTGGGTGGCGGTTGGTGCATCACCACCGTCTTCTGCGTGTTAATGACCAGACCGAAGTTCTCGCAGGCGGCGGAGAACAGGTCCATGCTCCGTTGCATCTCCTCTTCTGAGGTGGTGTTCAGGGCGCAGTCGTCGGCGAAGAGGAGTTCGTGAACGGTTGTTGTGGATACGCGTGATTGGAAGTGCATCCGCCGTTGATTCAGCAGGTGACCGTCCGTCCTGTAGGCGATGCGAATCCCGGGGCGTTCGTCGCGGTAGGCGTCCATCAGCATGGCAGAGAACATAAGACTGAAGAGGGTTGGTGCCAGCACGCATCCCTGATTCACTCCGTTAGTCACTGCGAATGCCTCTGAGATAGCTCCGTTGTCCGTGACTCGCGCCATCATACCGTCGTGCAGCTGACGCGCCATCTGAGTGAATCGCTCTGGACAGCCGAATTTCTGCATAATCTTCCACAGTCCTTCACGATTCACCGTGTCGAAGGCTTTCGTCAGGTCCACGAAGGTAGAGTACAGGTGGATCCGCATCTCCTGACACTTCTCTTGAAGTTGGCGGGCGGCGAAGATCATATCCGTGGTCCCACGATGACGACGGAAGCCGCACTGGCTTTCCGGCAGAAGGCCCTGTTCCAGGTGGTTATTGAGGCGGTTGAGAAGGATGCGAGCGAAGATATTCCCGGCGATGTTCAGCAAGGAGATGCCACGGTGATTGTCGCAGACTTGGCGATTCCCTTTCCGCTTGTATAGGTGCACGATTGTTGCGTCCTTGAAATCTTGCGGGACTTCACCTTGACGCCACATCTCCTGGAAGAGCGCAGTCAGGTGATCCATGAGTTGGGGACCTCCGTGCTTGTAGACCTCAGCAGGGATTGCGTCCGATCCGGGTGCTTTCCCGCTGGAGAGCTGCTGCACGGCCCTGATGGTTTCCTGGAGAGATGGCGGGAGGTCTAGGTCCGCGTTGGTCTCGACTTGCGGCAAACGCGCGATGGCGGCGTCGGAGATGGCGGAAGGGCGGTTTAGGACGCCTCGGAAATGCTCGGCCCATCGCTGTACGATTTGCGTCTTCTCAGTCAGGAGAGTACTGCCGTCGGCGCTGAGGAAAGGCGCAGTGCCCTTTGTCGGCGGACCGTAGACAGTTTTGATCGCAGAGAAGAAGTTCTTCCATTCGTTGCGGTCCGCGTAGCCTTGGATCTCCTCAGCTTTGCGAGCAGTCCAGGCGTCCTGCATCTCGCGCAGTCGCTGCTGGAGGTGGCGGCGACTGCGGTAGAAAGCAGCTTTGTTGTCGTCAGTGGGGTGATCGACGTAGGCTTTGTGTAGGCGGTTCTTCTCAGCAAGCAGATTTCTGATGGCGGCGCCGTTGTCGTCGAACCAGTTCTGGTGTTGGCGGGGAGCGCGACCGAGGACGGTGAGCGCCGTCGACTGGACCGTGTCTCGCAGTTGACACCAGCGGTTCTCCACGGAGGCGTTTTCGGCAGCGGCGGCATCGGCGAGGGGGAGGTTGTCTAGTCGTTGAGCTAGCTCATTGCTGAAATGGAGATGGTGAGCGAGCAAGGACAACAAGGCAACATTCAGCTTACCTGGGGGTCGTTTATCTTGAGGTCTCCTGCGAGGCTGTAGGCGAATACGCATCTTCGAGATGACGAGGCGATGGTCGGTCCACCCGTCAGCACCCGCGATCGCCTTCGTCACCAGCACGTACCGCTGGTCACGCCTTCGGACGAGGACATAGTCCAGCAGGTGCCACTGACGCGACCGAGGATGCCTCCAGGTGGCCTTCTCTCGCTCCGGCAGACAGAAGAACGTGTTTGTCAGGATAAGGTGTTGTTCTGCGCAGGTGCCGAGCAGCAGCAGACCATTGTTTAGGCATTTTTTTTCAGACACGCCCGGAAGTAGTGACTTCTTGTATAGTGCAGAAATTCTCTCAGACATTGAGATGTCTAGGTTGTCTATAGCGGATTGTTCAAAGTGGTTATCTAGCACAAAATCAAGCCTTTCTTGCATTTAAAGTTTCTTTTTTGTCTTGTGCCAATTTCTTTTGATAAGTGTGAAAGGATTTTCGATGGGACTGAGATCCGGGCTGCTGGCAGGACTGAAAATCGCTTGAAGGCCACATGCGACGAGGCTGGCTGTTATTTAGAAGTCGGATTACAGTTGAAAGCGTTATCAGATTCACATTTCTTTAGAGCGATGAACAAGGACATTATCTTGTAAAATTATTTTATCCATTCGGTGTCGGTAAGTTTCTTTGTAATCGAAAAAATCCTTCTCAATGCTGACGAACACCTTGCTGTTGATGGTGTCCGTAGTCGACCATCAGACTGACCGCTCTCCGAATTTGATAGCTATCCATACTATTGACCGTTAACAGTACTTGAAGGTTTCCGTCGGCGCAATATGTTCTTTTGTGAAGTTCTTACTACATATGACCATCTGGGTCGACGTCGTAGGCTTGTCCAAATATAAGACCTCGTCGCAGAAGTAATTGGTCTTTCAGAATGAGGACCGGTTATTAATATATTTCTTAGCGAATAACAACGCTCTCTAATAAGTTTTCTACCTAAAACGGCTTGATCATGGCCTTTTATTAATGAAGTTTAAATTCCTACATCCTTTTCCTAATTACGTTTATAGAGAACATCAACAGATGATCCTTTAAATGGTCTTGGTGGGCATATAGTGATATTTCTTAGTGTATGACGAATAAAATCGGCACCTTGCTTGCCTGTGGACAGTTCTGGTCCACCTCCCTTATTTCTGGGTACGGTTTTATCACTAAGGAAATTATCCGGATATAAAAAATGCCGGATTTCACCCAAATATGACCTGTTTTCCTTTAATAAAATTGACTTGAGATGAATCCTCCTTCAGTTAATGGCTTTCTGTGCCTCGCCTCATCTCAAAAACACGAATAACAAAGCCAAATGTACGACACAGTTCTCACTCAAATTTCGACCATGACATTTCATGAGTTAGACCACCTACTTTAGGTGGAAAGTCTGTCCCTCAGCTCCTTCTCCATGTGGCTCCTCTGCTGCGGGTGTGATCCGAGCCTGAGACTATCAGGGTGCGCTAAGCGTCATGACTTGGAGAGTTGCCAAGTGACGCAGCAACTCAGTTCACACAGTCTGCCCAGTTGTATGTGTGTGTCTGTTTGGAGTGGCGAACTGGTGGGCCGAGAGCCAGGCTGAAATGGCTCCTTCTTAACGTGACCTACGGCTCTCTCACGCATGTGAGGTGTGAGATGGGGTTTGCATTTGGGAGTGGGCAGGTCTTGCATGTGGCGCGCGCTGACTGGTTTGCCAACCTTGTCAGCCACTGTGCCGATTCCCCGCATTAGTCAACTGACCGGCTGGGACAGTGGCTGGGACTTAAGAATGGGAATAGAGAGTGAGGTCGACGACTCAGCACATTTTCCTCACTATAAGCAATCTGATGCGCTTGAAGCTATCACAGTGCGTTTAAAGCCGTGGCTTGGAAGGTTGCCTACTGACGGGACAACTTGTATCTCCCTATCAGCTCATTGGGAATTTGTTTGGAGTGGTGCACTGGTGGACTGACAGTCAGGCTGCAGTGGCTCCCCTCTTAATGTGGCCTCTAGGGCACTCCCACTCTTTCTACATTGTGTGCAAAATTCTGATCAGTTTACTTTGTGGATAAGGGAGTGCGGTAGCGGTACGCCTAGGCACGGGATTTTGGCCGCGCCACTCACCTGCGCCCGCTCTCACCTCTATTCTTCTTTACTTGGTCATGACACGGGGTCCAGGTGGTGGAGGCGGAGAGAGTGCGGTTGAGGCCCTCCAGTCATGTTCTCTTCCACTGCCCGCCAACCAACCACTTATAAGCACAGTATTTTTTACTCCGCAGTTAGTTTTAGCAGAGCTAAATAAGCTGGATCCTGCCAAGTCACCTGGACCAGATGAGATCCCAGGTATACTCCTGCGTCAGCTAGCTGAAGAATTAGCAGAGCCACTTTCTATAATCTTCCAAAAATCGCTGGAAGCTGGCAAACTACCTGACACATGGAAGTTGGCAAACGTCGTACCTATCCACAAGGGAGGATCACGGCTATGTCCCAC